GCGCTTCGCGCTTGGTGATGTGAGAGCCTGGTCCGGTGAGAACCCGGCGTGCTCCGTCCCGGCTTTGTAGGGATGCGAGGTCATTGGTCCAACGACTACGGCATGCACGACTATGAGTACACCCCCCCTCGATGTTTGCCATCGGGATTGGGTTTTCATCGCTTGGCAAAGACGTTGTAAAACAAGCCAATTCACTTCGTGAACTCGGCAACCAGGTTATCGTTTGTTTTTTTACTTTCGTTTTATTCGGCGGTAACCATAATGGTGGTCGAGTTGATCATGTTGTGCGGAGTCGACAACCCTCACTCCGCGCAAGGGGGATAATCGTACCACGTTGTGTTAAAATGGCCNCGGAAATATAGTCAGCCATACGCAGCTGTCATCCGTACGCAAGGAAGTAAGCAGATGCCGAACATCCTCAGCAGGATGCAGCGCACCCTTCATGCGACTCGCCGAATATCTCACGGCGCTTCGCGCTTGGTGATGTGAGAGCCTGGTCCGGTGAGAACCCGGCGCGCTCCGTCCCGGCTTTATAGGGATGCGAGGTCAATGGTCTAACGACTACGGCGTGCACGACTGTGAGTACACCCCACCTCCACCCTCTTCCTGAATCATGGCTTGGAGAGTACCAACCATATGACGCATTGATGCGGTCGCACGTACCGTTAGACCAGGTAGAGTTGGCGAGTGACACATTCCCGTCCACATCGAGTGCGCAGCTACAAGGGCAGCCATGATTTCGTTTTTGAAATTAAAAGCGTTCTCTCAAACCCAATACTCCGGCACGCCCAAGATCTTAAATTACGTCAGGAGGTCCTCCGCAATTAGTCGGGCTGTGCATGCCCCGGTGTGCTCGAGCCAAACTCAGTTCGCGTCCATCATGACCAATTGTACTTGAGTTGAATGAAACCTTTGTCCTCGTCCAGGCCATTTTTTCCCATCGGGCCACGCGATCCCACGTAGAGGTAGTCAAAATTAGCATATCCCGCCAGGACGCGTACCGTGGACGGTCTTCCCAAGGAGCAAGGTAACTTTTTCCCCTTCTTGGAATCGACACAATGCAGGCGCTGCTTGACGAAGTCGGTAGATTGCGCTTTCGTTTGAATGTAGCTCGGACAAACGCTGCAAGGTGGCGGCGGCGCCACGTTCCCCAGCTTCTTTCATTTAGGCACAGACCATCAGTCGCACCTGCAACGCACCCGCCTGACCTGAAACCCAAAGCACGTCACGTCCGTTCTACTGCCGTCGAGAATGACGTGGCAGGTCTGGCAAGCGCGCTGAGCTAACTCCGCGCCGCTTGTTGTGCATCACGCGGCTTCCTTTGACGGCACACGTAACGACACTGGGTTCGCTAGGGGCGCACGCCTTGGCCGCACGAACACTTACCGACGGCACAGAAACCTATGATGACAGAAGGACCCCTCAGCAATCACGCTCACCTAAAATGTGCCTGATGGTATTTATTATCGTACTGGCCCCGGGCAGCTTTGCACTGGTCGAGGTGCTGAGCCGTTATTTTCGCTACGGACGACACGTAAGCGTCCGAGTCAAAGATATTTGCGAATTTACGGTGATCTGTGAAGAATATTATGCACGCCATCACAAAGCAAATACTCCAACCGCTGCAACATATTCACCATCGCGAAGCCTTCCTTGTCCACCGTGGCCCACCATGGTCCACCGTTGCAGTGCACCCTTGAAAGTGCCGGTCAGAAACCCCATCGCCTCATGAGTCATATCCTCTACAAGCGCCACGGCCCTGCTGGTCTTGGAACAGTTCAGTGAAAAAAATCCCCCAATGTTCATTGGACGCATCGGAAAACGTGAGCACGGCGTAACGTGGGCGATGGTGACGCAAGGCAGCAGTGAGGGCAACAAGGTCTTGCGTGGCAGTACACGCTTCGACCAGCGCGGGCATTCAAGCATTCGAGCGATTGCGCTATTCTCGGGCACGCGCTTCGTCCGGCTTTTGGCACCGACCGAGTGCTACTCAAGAAACAGACGAAGGGGCCACATATCTTCCGCCATCCGTTGTAGAGATGTGCACAATCAGTTGACCGCTTGCAGGTACTGCATCAGACTCGCAAGCCTCCTCGGGACTCCGGACTTAAATAGCCAGATGTGGACAGGTTCTGCTAGGGGCCCAGATATGGTAGTTGGAGATGTTGCTGGTACCCCCTTGTTGCCCCATCAGAGGGGCCTCTATTGACGTCTATAATAATAACACATTCTGCTTACCATCACCAAGCAGGTGAACCGACCAGCCTCCCGAGGCCACAGGGGGAGGACACTGGTCCTGGGCCCTGCGTGACTTCAGGCGTGTGTGTCTACACAGACCGCTGAGCCGCTCGGTATCTTGCTCGACCTTGCCCTGACAGTACACATTTCCGCACCAAGTCATGCTGGTCTAAAAAAATGTGCACTGCTGAGCGGCCACGTAAAGGCCAGCCCCCTCCAGATGGTCAAGAATCAGGCCGAGGGTCTCAAGCAAGACGTTTTTTTCCATCCCCCAATACACGACATCGTATACACAAACGAAGCAATTTTGCTCCTCCAGGATACGCGAAAGGTTGGCCTGATAAAAATACGACCTAGCGTTCGAAATATCTTGCAGTGCCCGCTTGGGAGTGTAGAGGCCGCCAAGCGTCGCGGTCGTGAAGATTTCTTGCGCCTTTGACGACAACAGGCACTGCAACTACCCTTGCAACGGATCCAAGCTCCCACAGGACTTCGATACAATGAGCGAAGGCCTACGTGCTTTAGGGTTAGGCATGACACCAAGCACCTTTTGTTTTTGCTCGTGCTCTTTCTACGCGCTTGTTGGCCGCATGAAAATTTCCTCCGAGTCGCCATCGCGGGGCTTGCCCACACGGCCTGCATGTTGAGGAACACCACACTCAACGCGACCAGCGACGCCACGCACCTCTCCAGCAACGCGGTCTTGATCGGGCTATACACGCACGATCGCGCTTTCCTCGGCCGTACTCCGGACTTAAGGGTGACCCGCACAGTAGAACCTCGAGATTCGCAGGAAGGTTGCCATGGCGTAAACCACGGCGCCACGGCGAAACGCATTCCAACACTTGCCGATGACGCCTCGCAGACGTCCCACATACGGTTTGTCCAAGATAAGGGCAGCGGCAAAAGAGACAGCGCTGTCCAACGATGCAGACCGCACCGATGCCTCCTCCTCAGGGATCATGTCAACGTCTGGGCCTCGCGCCACCAAACGCTCGACGGTTCGACCGCTAGATCCGGTTCGGCTTGCTCCGGGCCTTCACGCTGCTGCAAGACCTCAACGGCAAACGTATCACCGCCGCATTGTTTGTAAGCTAAGGTCTCAACACCCGAGACGCTAGCGCGCAAACACACATAGCCCCCAAGCTCGTGCACATTGATACCGAACTACTTCAGCGTGGGGTTGCCAAGAATGGCCACTTCATTATTACCAGGAATACATCGCAAACGAGAACGGGTCTACCACACCAGTCCCCAGCTTGTGTGTGGAGCATACTGTGGCGGTTTAGTACAGCTATTCATACTCTACTAAAACTTTTGTAAGTACGGCTCTTCAATACTCTACTAACATCTTTTTGAGTATAGTATGGCTTTTCATACTCTACTCATACTCACTTTATAGTACGGCTCTCCATACTCTACTCAACGTACTCTTGCGGTTTAGTACGACTTTTCATACTCTACTAAACATACTCTTTGAGTTTAGTATGGCTTCCTATACTGTACTATACTATCACTTTAGTATAGCTTCTCATACTCTACTAAACATACTGTTGCGTTTAGTATGGCTGCCCATACTCTACTCAGGCCATAGTACAGCCCGCCATACTCAACTCAGAGTACGTACTACCTTCCACCAAAGGGTGTGTTGGTGACGTCACTTTTCAGCAGAAAGTAGACAGCCTCTCCGCACAGAGTGGTGG